GTGAGAAAGAGTATTGAAAAGCGGCGATGGTCGACCGATACCGCGCTCTCGTGAGAACATCATACTGAATTATTTACGGCATATGAATTATTTACGACATCGATGTTACATTTTTTGTCTTTTTCATTTACAATTAGAATTAATCCGTAGGATTTTCAGCCTGTTCGGTAATTGAATTTCGGTAATTGAATGAACTACAGAACTTCGATAGCTACATGTAAAGGGACTGCAAGCATCAAGGATGAAATCTTTCATTTTTTCAAATTTTCTACTATGTATTACCTATACATACTTGAAATATTATTATTTATTACATGGCAGTAATGGTCACACATTATTTACAAAGGTGTATACGTTTGTAATTAGAATTAATTTATAATAGAATCTTAATTGTCGAGGTTAGGTAAATATGAAATTTCCTAACGATTTCAAAAATAAATGTAACATAAATTTTTAGAAATATTGCAATTAGTAATAGAATTTGATCGATTCGCGTAGAGTTTCAGTTGAATTCCAGAATCGTCTGAACGTTGTCGATTTTCATGGCGTCGTGCCTCCATGGAAAACTCATGGAACACATTAGGGCTTTTCGGGGGTCGTTCCCCTCTTTTCTCGTTCCTCGTGTTCTCAATATCGACCTCGCTTATATTTTCTCGACCCAATGCGAAGGGTCGTTGGCCCCCTCTCTTTTCGCTCCCGGAAATCGTGGCTCACGTCTCTCAAAAGCGGCCTCGAACAATGGATTTTATTTCCATTGCAGTTTGCGACCTCTTTTCATTTCTTTTTTCTATCTCGTTTCGCAGCAAACTTTGCTACGTTTAGCTGATTTCGCTCGTGTCTCCTGCAAATGCAGCGTACGAAACTTGAATTGTGATTTTAGAAGTTTATTTAATTAGAATTATTGGAAGCGCCATATATTTTCCTTTACCATCACTCTTTCTAAAATTAAGTATTGTAAAATTAAATACAAAATGCTAATTTTTGCAAAATATTTGCTGTCGTTCAAATTCAGGTTGTAAGAAAAATTGCAACTCATGAAGTTTACTTGATGAAAAATTCCAAAATTCAAGTACCGTTGTAAAATTAATTATAAATACGAATTTTCATGAAAAATGTACTAACGTTTGTATTAAAAAGAAAAAGCAAGAACGATGCAATATCGGCGCCTAACAAGGCAGCGTCTCGCGTTCTTTTTTGTTTCATTTCTTCTTTCGTTTCAATAACACGATTTCTTCTAATAAGCTCGTCGAAGGATAACTGGTATGATCAGTAAAAATTCCTCCAAAGTTTCGTCGAAAAGGGATCAAGAGGGTCTTCTACAATTTTATCGGTTGCCATTGGCAACGCCTCGTGTTGCCTCTCTGAAGCTTCAGTTTCGGACCAACTCCTACGCGTTTGCTTCTTCAAAGCGTTAAAGAAAGGAGAACGATTCGAGAATAAAGGATGAAAATGTGGACATTGTAGGACGAAGTTAAAGAGAAAGAATAACCCTCCTGTTGATAAGAGCGAATTTTCACACCCGGAAAAGGAGAGTCTTTCGCAATGCGAAATCTGAAAAGGACGCGAGATGAAGAACCTCGTTGCTTCTTTGTTTATCTTATTTATTTAAACGAGTAAAATAACTGTTTGGTATGCAATGATAAATTTAAACATATTTGGCATAAAATAATAAGCTACCAGTAAAAAAAAAAAAAATGGACGATGGATCCCTTAAAATTGTGTATGGTAGAGTGGATTTACAAATAGAAGTGGAGTTGTTTATTATTTATGACTTCTAATAGTGAACAAAATTGAGACTTGATCAATAAAATTTTTGGACTCTTATAAATTACCAAAAAATTATTTTTCATGATTTTATGAGGTTTTCTTGATTTGTTCGGTAATTTACAGTAATTTGCTATTTATTTCCTTATTGTGTCGCAATAATTTTGGATGAATTGGATTTTGGAGGAGACCATTAGGTCATCATTTCGTAAAATTCTTTTACCAATAAATTAAACAGGTTTCTTTGTTATTTGATGAATATAGTCATAAGAAAAAAGGGTTGCTAAGAGATGAATAGTATAATAAAATAGCTTTTATATTTTTTTATGAATTTTGTAAGAATTTCGTAAGAAGTAGTACACGAGTTTTAATTTTTACGAAAAATATTTAAATGATCAGGAAAGTTTCAACACAGTTTCAACAGTACGTTGCTCAAACCAGTCTGAATAATTGAAGGCTACGAGCTCTTAATTAACCTTCATTGTCGATGGAATCATGTTATTTCTTTGAATTGAAATGTAGGATATTCCTTGGAACCTTCTTTATTGTTGAACAAAGACTTTGAAGAATTTTCTGGGATCACAAATCACATTGTGTTTTATAAAAAAAAATGTCATGATGGAATAAATTCAGTCTATGGAAGGCATTTTCATTTATTCATTTTTATCTCGAAAAACATGTAAGTGGTTTTTTCATTTTCCTAATCGGCGGTGAAAAATATTTAAAATAGTTTTAATTTTTTATTAAAATTTAATGAAACAAAAGCAAACGTTCAAAATGATTTAAATTTATCAAAATTATTAAATTATTTATGTTTTAAACTTATATAGACTTATCATAATAACTAAAACGTATATTTGTTGTTGATTACAGAAGGAATTATTTGAACTTTATCTTGATACGTATTTCATAAGTTTACGCAATAGTGTTCTAAGTTAGAACCTCGTTTATTTTCATTTACTACGTTTAATCTTGTTTTTAATTTCTAATGCATCATATAAGAATTAAAATGGTATAAAAGAAAATCAATTAAGCCTTTTAATATAATTATTTACGAAACGTTTGTCATTTTTCTAGATTCAAGCGCAGAATTTTCTTTACCATTCAGTTAATAAAAAGAAACGTTTTCATTTGTAAATTCTTATTTTTTTAGAGAAATAAAACATAAATGTATAGATATTATTAATAATTCTTTAAAAAATTCAACGCGATTTTCTCCTCAAGAATTCGAATCACAAAAATACTTATACGGTGTGTTAGATGCAAAAATTTACAATTTATTAATGTTTTAGTCATCTCTAAAATAAATTCTAAGCCTGAAAATCTAAATTACATTATTTATTATAGAAATTTTTAAATATTTCCGTCTAATTTCTCTGGAAAAAGATGCGAAGAAGATGAATCAAGTTGCGAAATAAAATGGCGGTAACGAAAGCATGATTCGCAAAGTTGCGAACTGTAGACGGCGCCACTAGTTGGAACGGACAAACATTAAAAAAGTATAATTTGCAATGATATTTTTTCAATAAATACAAAAATGGTAGCATCCAAATAAATTGTACTTATACGTTTTCATTAATTTTGTGTCGTATATAAAGTTATAATGTTAAAATGTATTACTGTATCAATTTTGATTGGAGTACCTATAAATCGGCCATTTTTGTACTAAATACGTTGAATATCGTCTTATTTATTAGATATTTATCCGACGTGTATTAGGTATTTATTATGACGTGTATTATTTTATTATTGAATAATAATTTCGTGCGAAAGAGAAGTTCCTCGAAGAGGTTGACTCGATAAATTCAGATATTAATTTAATTTCAGATAAAGCAAGATTGTCACGTTAACGATAAGGAAGTACTGTAAAAGTGGGTGATATTAGTGAATCGAAGCGCGGTATTATATAAACGATCTGCTTCAAAATTTTCGTATAGTTTTGGATAGTTAGATAAGCGCGCGTGCAGATAGGAAGATAAACATTTCATCACAAAATGACATCGCGTATTTCGTGATTTCGCATTTAAACGATATTCCTTTTCTATGTTAATGATTATATTCCACTAACATATCTATAATTTTATTTTAAAAAGTATGAAATCAAAAATTATTATTTACAAACATCGGAAGTTTGTAGATTGATCACTCGAAAGACAGTGAAACATTTGGTTCTTTTAATATTTAAATCAAATTGCTGCAAATTTTGACTGATGCTTATAAAAAATTATTGCACTATGTAGATTATGATACCAAAAATTAAAAGTGAAATTAGTTGTAATTGTACAGTTATTAAATTAACACTGGAGCAACCAAACCCGTCAAAATGACAGTGTTTAGATTTTTTATTTTAAATCACATAAATGATTAAGATACCTCTATTAATTTTTATTGAGGTAAAGAGTGATTTATATGTTAATTTATCTTCTAGCTTTTATTAATTTATCTTCAATTTAAAAATAGAGAGCATCCAACACCGACTCTTCGAGCGTTAGATTTTCTCTATAATTTTGGAAAAACATAAGATTGCATATTGATAAAAAGTGTAAAACTATGATAAAGCTTATAGAATATTCTAGCAATGAAAATTTATTTAAAAAGCATGTGTAAATGTTTCATTTTGATAATAGGAAGTTGTACCACGTCACTTGGCAACATTTGTTAAGGTATCCTTATGAAGTAAAATTATAGCATCTTTGTTTAAAATGTTGGAAAAGCTGGAAAATTTTCCTCGTGTCTCCTTTGGTCTTTTGATTTACAAAATGGCGCGGCTTGGTATGGGCGGCATTATGGTTTCCCCCATGCTGTAGGGTGAAACTCCATTCTACGAAGCCACCCTTCACGTGGGGTGAACCCTCGATCCCTCGCACCCTGAATTCGAAAGGAATGGAGGGGTGGTGGTAACAAATGAAGTAAGGGTGTTCGAACGGACCTCCCGGGAAATTCTTGGAAAATGGTATCATCACCTTAGATTCGCTGCTGGCGTCATCTAAGAACTGTTCTCCCGAGAACTTATATGAAAATCGATATCGTGCGTTGGTAATACAGATCGTTTAATCATTTAATGGTAATCCTATCTTTTTTATAAATTGTTTTATTGTTTTAATATTGTTTTTTGTTGTTAAATATATTTCTTAGGGATTTATTCCTATTTTTGTTTATACGCAAATGTTGAGTATCAAAAAATTCTTAGAACCATGTAACGATAATTTTAATATTTATTTTTATTTTCTTCCAAATATTATATTGTCTTTGCTCGAAATAATTATTAACAGATTAGTTTTGTTCGTGTATATTACATTACTTTATATAGATGATTATTTTCATTTTCTTTAACCATTTAATCTTAAAATTTATTCCAAACATCTTACAGATTTCTTAATCATTTTATACCTTCTTTTTGTATCACTTTACATAATGGTTTTCGAACAATTTATCGAGGCTTTGTTCCGAACGAGGAAGTCACCGACAGACGATACTTGATAGTTTATTATTACTTGAGCGGTATTGTCTTGCCCATAAAGGCAGCCGAGTAATTTCCTCTTCCTGGATCGTCGAAGATGACTCGATCGTTGACGATCCACTGACTGTAACGTATTTCCGAGAGAAGTTGAAAGCCCACGCTCTGTGCCTTCGATTGACTCATGCCGCAAGTGAAAATACCTCCGATCGCTGGCATTTTTAACGCGACTGCTGCTTGCACGCAACCGTTCAGAAGTGCAACTTCAACTCCTCTCTGTTGATAAGACGGGTGCACGTAGAGAATGTAAATAGTGACGTACTCCTTCTGAGCGAATTGCTTGTGCGGATTTGTTTGTTGGATCAAGGTGTTCCTCAAGTGCATAATCTTCTTGAGACTTTCGCCATGCAGGTCCTGGAAAATCAGTCTTTGCTCAACGACGAGAAATTCTTCTGTCGTTTAATCGCCTGGAAGCTTATTTTACAAAGCTTCTATCGATCAAAGCACGTTTGAATGGCGTTAGACTAGAACCAGTTTCCTGCTAGTTTACTACTACTATCATAAAGAAGGTTTTCATAACGATCAGCCAGTTTGTATTAAAATCATTAACAAAAGAGTTGTGTTTATTTTTCTAATTTTACAATTTAAAAAATCAAGGAGGAGGCTTGTTTAGCCTACCAGTTAGAAAATATTGAAAATGTTACAAAATTTCTCGAACTATTAAACAATTATTTATACGTTCAACTTTCTCTCGTTCAATTGCTCTCGTTTTACCTTTCGAATTCAATCACGATCATACCTGCACGCGATTATAAGTGTTCGTTTTATCTGCCTCGTTGTCGATCCTCATGACTGCGACACCGACCACGCGACCGGATATCAGGCTAGTGGCGATCAGGCTCGTGGTGTCCTTTATCCACATATGCACATGCTCCAGGTATTCCTTTACGGATGGCTGGTCCTGCAGGAACGAGGACGCCTTGCACATTGGTTCCTCGCGAAAGAAATGACGCTGAGAAAAATATCGAACGGCTCGAATTACAATCTCCATTGTTGCGTTCTGCAAGCACTGAGATCTAGAGTACTGATTAAACGCTGGTGCTATGCACTGGTAGGTTTCGTGGCTAAACTTTGATCAAACGTAACACTTCGTTGTACAGTGGTTCCCTTAGGTCGATTATCTTGCAATTCGCCGTTGATTCCCATTCGAGGGGAGCCAGCATTCGCGCTTCCATCTCGACCGCACGATCGTCTTCGTTGAAGTCCATTTTGATGATAAATAGAAATTCGAAGAAGGGTCTTTTTCCAAAAAAGAGAACAATGCCATAGAAAATTAAAAAAATAAATATATGTGTATCCTGAATATGTCTTTAAAAAAAATCGAGTCGCATTTCGATCGAAAGTAACTTCACGAGTCTTACGAGTTCGGCAGAGAAATTTATGTGATTTCATTCAAAATTATTAATGATAAATTCATGGTGAAATATTTGTCGACAGTCTATTGAAATATACGAGAAAATGAATAATTCGAATCACAATACGGGGCGTAAGAAAAGCTCGATCAAGCACTCTGATTTATTTGTTTTAAGTCAACAAATAGTGGATATCAGGAGACAACGATTGTATCAGAATTACAGAAGTGCGGATGCCACTGTGGTGTGGGAACGAATATCCCATAGTTATCGAATCGTCGACCTTCAATTGGACAGATTTATCCAATCTTTACGCTTTGTTCTAGTACATCGTTGATCGAAGTACAGTTTATTAGCGTATAAAAGACTCTCGCTCAGGAAACGTATACTCATTCTGTTATTTTCAATACTTTGACGACTAATGTCACGTAGCATACTCAATTTGAGATCTGGCAATGGCTCGTAAACACTTCCTTTCTAAAATTCTGAAATCGAAGATATTAATTTCATTAAATATGCGGTCGTCAAAGTGTTAATATTCCAAACGACCGATCTCGTTACACGAAAGTATTCTTACACGAAAGTATCGTAGAAGATTTTTTCATTAACTGCATATTTATGCATATTAGGTTACATAAACTGATTAGTCTACATTCTCTATCACTTTGTATTTAACGCCTGACATAAAAGTACATTTTCTTTCATAAAACCGATAGAATATCTTTAACTTATGTAAGGAGACTTAATGATAGCTTGACTCGTGGAATAATGATTCTACGGGAAGTATTTACCAATCATCGTGTACATTTTAGGTCCATTACTGTCAAACTGAGCCACTGGCTCAAGTTGTGGGTTTGTACGACGATGGTGTATCAATGAGATCCCTTCTCCATCAGATTTTCGATAAAATGTCTGAAAATTTGAGCTTTTGCGCTCTTGAAGATGGAACTTGTGAACTCGTGGGTGTGCTCGTTGCCTCTATGTTCGATAAGACTCGATGCAAATTCGCATTAGAGGTATGATTCATTAAAAAACGTGGTTTTTTCCATATTGTAGAAACTATACAAGCAATCTTTGAATCTACAGTATCCTGGAGACGGACTTAGGCAAATAACGATAATGCGAGATTATGCCATTACCAAGGCAATGTTTTACGAAATTATGGGCGCGGAGAAACCGGTGCGTATTGACATTCTTTGCGTAAGGTCTGATCATCAGAGAAAAGGCATTGCTACCGCGTTGTTACGTTCCTGTCTTGCTCGAATCAGTGGTTTCGCGTCTGTTTGTGTCGGGGAATTCACTTCCGGTGCTTCTCAAACGATCGGTGTGTTACCATTCATTTTATCTTACGTATAATATAATATAGTACAGTAAAATTAATTTTAAATTTGTTGAACAATTATTATAGAAATTTTATACTTTTATGTTCACAGCTCAAAGATTACAGTTCGAGGTACTCTGCGAATTACCATATGAAAACATGGAGGCTGAAGGACACAGGTACCAAATTTTCAAAGATTGCTATCCTGAGAATTATTCCATCGCTTGTATGGCTGTGAAAATATTGCCACCACCACCACGATATCAGCCATCGATAAAGTCTGTCTCTCTGCATACACAGAAGCCGAAGAAGCGCAAGAAGACCAGGAAGAAGAAATAGCTGGTATTTTCATTTATTTTCATTTATTTTCATTTATTGTCATAAAATATTATACACATTCTGTTGTTTTTAACAATATCGCAGTCGTGTGTACAATTGCCGTTTACTCGAAACGAAACATTAACATTAAGATAGGTACAGATTAAAAAAATTTATCTAATGTCTCGCGTAGTTTGTACAACTGTACAATGAGAGTTTTTCGCGACATGCTCGAGCATTAACAGCAGCTTACTTTTTTGATCTCGTTACGTAGCTTCAGTACGTGAAGCATGGTTTTTTGTAAGTTCACGGTTGACAATGTGACGATCGAGGACAAAGATATGATTTATGTCTGTCGTTCCACATTAAGTTTTACGATTTCCGACAACGCCGTACTGTTATCGTGTACACAGTTTTCAAGCACTTTTTACAATTCATCTTTTTGCTGTTGTGTTCTGCCTTCGTCCAAATCCGGTCGTATCGGCAAACGTTCCCAGAAGCTCATTCTATCTGGGTTAAGGTTCTTCGACATTTCAATGCCATTGTTCCCTATACGAAGATACTCGAGATCCTTAGTTCTAACAGGCTTCCATTTCACTGGTACTTCTTCTGTTACTTCCGGGGTAGGGTTTCTGGAAAATAATTAATTACTCAACAGAGTGCATGAAAATGCAATTGCTACTTCGTTGCACAGTGTTGTTTAATTTTGAAAAGAAATATAATGCAATGAAGAATCAACTTGCGATAACTTACCCAGAACTGGCGAAGTTATACCAGAAACTCGTTATGAGATCAATCATTTTGTAATCCTGTTTGCTCAGTGGTATATCCTTGAATAGTTCTTCCCCGACAGGGAATAAATATTGAAGATCATCGGCATGCGATACTCCGTAATCATTGTTAGGATCACCGAATATCATACTAAACGAAGCGCTTGCTCGGTACGCCAAGTAATAATAATATACAGGAGAGGATTGTTTTTCAAGATAATTAATCACCGAAGTTTGAGCCGCGTGGATGAACCAAGCATCGCTGTACATCTGTGAAATATTCAAAGAAACTCCAAAAATATTCGATTTAAATGACACATTCTTTAAGAGCCAATGTTACCAGTTGCTTTCGTCACGCAAACCTTCGAGTTCAACACGAGTCATTGATCCCAACAGCGAGCTGATAAACCATTTGCAGAGTTGCAAATAAAGAATACTCACATCAATCAGTTTGAATCGCGTAGAATTGTCGATCGGTGCTTTGCCGAAATAAAATTCTCGTATTTCCGATGCCACGCGTTTCTGCTCATCCTTAGGACACGTTTCTCCAAACAATAACGTTATAGGCGCAATGTTCAGGAAATCATTGTTCAATCTTTTAATCAATTCTCCATTGTTCCGTGTGTATAACCCTGATGAAAAGAATAATGATCGAACGATTAATTTTAATGTGGAAGAATAATTGCAAACACGAAAGCGTATAATGAAGTTAATCATACCTGGTACTATCAGGGATCCTTCCTCGGATGTAATTCCTGTCATCCATGGAATGTCCGAGAGACGACCATGTTTCGACGAGATTGCTGGGTCTTCCGTTAAGAAAGCACCCGGGTGAACAGGTTCGATTACCGGTCTGAAGGGTATCATTGGGCAGTAACCAAATACCTAATGGAAAAACATCTTGTTAATATCGTTCGAAGATTCTTTTTAACCGATTTCAAAAATGAAGCTTCTGTATTCGATAATAAGTCTTCATTGCATAATTATCTTAATTTTGATTAAAAAGTATATATTTTAAAAATTTATATACAGTAAAATTTTGTAATATTGCAAATTTGCATCCATGTTTTCGTAGCATATTTGCAACACAATGCAACGAAGTTTATTAAGTAATCCATTTGCGCTGAGCGCGGCACTTTGAATTTTTATCCTAAGATTTCCATTTCTCGAGGAACGCTGAAAGACTTACAATGAAATATCTCAATTGCCGCGAAGATTTAAGCGTTTCATTTGAATTATTATTCAAACCACCGTGAATGCATTCAAACGTCAGGTTTCAAAGTAGAAACTCCTCAAAGGACAAACGCAGTCGATTTATCGCTTCATTTTATACACTATACGCTTTCACTTCCAGTCGCGTTAACACACTTCCTTGTCGTGAAATCGTTTCATACCGGTATTTTCCTGTTACTTTATACAGTTTATTTCACGAAAAACACGCGTTGTTCGGTTAAAAATTACGAACATTTCGCGCTCATCGATTTTCGTTGGGAACGTAAAACGCAAGCAGGAATAAAGTATAAGAAATTTAGATAATTATATTCACGAATGCATGAAACTGGTTTTTCCAGAAGTTGGAACCACTATTTAGTAGTCACAAGTACGAGTTATTTCGCTAGGTGATATTAGATTTCCGATAATTTTCTGACGGGAAAATCATTCCACGAAATGTCGAGGCATTCCATTGAAAATTTAATTGAATCAACTTTGAAAAACAATTTCGTAATCAGTTGATTATATCATAATTAATACCTAATATAATCAATAAAACTAGAATACAAATTTAAACATGACGTCGATCATTAAAGTTGTAACAAGGTATGCTTGTTAATTAACCAGTGAGAGATAAGAATTTGTAGGAAAAAGAAATTTATTCAGGAGTCGAGGGTTTAATTATGGTGTTAATTAACGTAAACATTATCACGGTAACAATGAGTGTAAGAATGTTAAGTACACAAGTCGAGTATGAATTTTCAGCGAGAAATACAAAGGAATGTATCGTATCTGGTTTTAATAGCGCAATTATAAGTTATGAAATCGTGTAGTACTACTACGACTGGATTTTTACATTATTCTTGATTTCAATATACTTATATAATAGGAATCAATTTACAGACCGGACCGTCATTTGTTTTAAACGCACGGCGGTCGATTTCAATGCCAGGGTATATGCCTTGTGTAATTATTAACGTTGTACATAGTAAAGTCTCGTTAATCCAAACTTGCTTGACTGGATATGTACTCCATTAATCTCAGATATGTACAATGGAAGAAGAAATTAAATGAAGATCACTGTTTCTGCAAGTTCGTTAATATATTTGTATCGATGACTTGCAAAATCTACGAGGAAAGATTCTTATCAAATATTAATTTATTCTTCTTCCTCACAATATCGTGTTTCTTCTGAGAATTTTGGTAATTTTTTTTTAACAACCGGTTTCAACATTAGTTATATCAAAGAAGTCTAAATTGTTATATTAAATATAGAAATTTAATAAGCTCTAAAGTTTGATTATAATATTAAATCCTGCATTCAATTTTACTTTAAAGTTATGTTTTTTGAATTATTCGTGGAAAAGAGCATTATATTGAAATTCAGATTAATAGACCTTCGCTATATTTTCACATGATTATTAAATGGTACAAGGACACTTTGGTTTCGCTAATTTTTTTGTGAAACATTCGTAACACGCTTACTTATGCATGAAAGGATTAAACCTTGGTAAATCATAAAATTGTATAATTGAACAGCTGTCTGAAGTGCATATTAATGTGCAGATATGTAAATAATATAATACAGATAGACAAGCTTGTAATACCTGACTCATAAAGTGATAATTAAAATAATTAACGATAAGTATCAAAAGATGATTGATTATAGGATAAATTATAATTTAAGTAACAATGTATCAATCTTCCAGACAAATTAATATCCGCGATAAATGGTTTCTCTTTAAATCTAAATTTAGATTAAAAATTCAAAGCTCATAGTAATTAAATCTGACTTTGAAATTTTATTATCATCTATATCTCTTGAAATAAGGTTTAGTTTTTGTCAGTGAATTATTATTGTATTTTATGGTCTGATAAATAATTGCAACTTACTTGAAAAGCACGATCGGTGGCAATAATATCGACGGCATTTTTCTTACGAAGACAAGCGAGCAGCTGTTTCGAGTCTGACGGACAATCCAAAATTTCAGCCAACTTTAGAGCCTTCTTTTTGGGAGAACCTGGTTTTGCCAGAGCCCATGGACAGTGGCCATTACCGCTTTGTGAGATAGCCCGATGAAAAAGTCCTGTTCGGAACCGTGTAGAATTGGAGAAAAATATTAAAGAATAACTAGTCCGCCTGTTTTTTTAAATGCCAATTCCAAATTACGTTTTTCTTTGGTACGCGTGTTCTGAATTCGAAGTAGTTACTCATGGGAATCCTGATTCACGGTAATTTATTCCTACTATCCGCGGGTTTAATATACCGGTTACATAATGTATTGTTCTTTGAGCTTATCAAAATGGAAAAATTGTGCCATGTATACTGTAACACGGATTACTATGAAAACTTTTATGACTAACACCGCGATTCATACATTAATTGCTTCGACTTCTTTTCCTTGTTGCGAAATGTCGAAGCTATTACCAGTTTCATCGTAAAACAGTATCATTATCGTTTAACAGATAATTATTACTAACCTTTGCTCAAATTACTCATCATGTGGTAATGAACACTGGCTCCTCCCGCGCTCTCTCCAAAAATAGTTACACGATTTGGATCACCCCCAAAAGCAGCAATATTTTCGTGTACCCATCTAATGGATTGCGCTTGGTCCTTTAGTCCATTATTTCCAGGACACACTGTGTCTTCGGTGCTCAAAAATCCCAGTGGTCCCAGTCTGAAAAATGACATTAATTAATATTGAAAAAAAAAAAACATATCTCGTACATTCTTCAAAAAAAAAAAATTTTTTACCTGTAGTTTACGGTGACGAGTATCATATCGTGGTCTAATAGGAATTTTGGATGATAGAATCCTGAGTGACCAGCACCACAGATCCAACCACATCCATGGAACCAAATCATGACCGGGTATCCTCCCTTCAGATTTTCCTCCTTATTAGGCAATTTTGGGGTGTAAACGTTTAGGTAGAGACAATCTTCGTCACCTTCGATTTCGTCTTGATGAGTGTAGATATTTCTTTGAACACATATTTGGGCGTCTTCTTGGGCTGATCGTATTCCATTCCATGATGACGCTGATTTTGGTGGCTGCAAATATATATGTATAGCTTTATTAATATTATAAGGCTCATCTGGAAATGATTACAGAATAATGATCAAAGAATTACAAAAAAAAGTTAATTAATTACAGTTCGCAGTTCAAAATTGCAATTCATTTAATTAAATTAACCGGAGTAGTCTGATTCTGAATCAATTAGTGCGAAAAAATTTTTTTTAAATCACTAACAGTTGAAAATACATAAATTACATAGTAGAGTAATCTGGGTATCAATATTTTGAACGAGAACTGGTTTATCTAGAGAAAAAACTGAATCTTTTTGCGAGGATTCGAAGTGTGTACAGATTGCGAGAGTTATTTAACATATTCATATAACTTTCGTAAGTGAGTGTAAAATTACGTCATTGGGCATGTTAACGAAAACAAGTTACTCATTTAACGAAGGGAACAACTATCTATTTGGTAGTTTTACCTGGAACCAGAAATACAAAGATTCCACTATGTAACTGTTTCAATAATTCTAACTAAAGAATGAATTTGTAAATGATAGATAATACAGTGATATCTTATAGTATCCAGTTTTCCCTTGTTAAATTGTAACTAGCATTGTATAACAAGTTGTTTAATATGCACTTGAGAGCTCTGTCACTGATCGCTTCTCAAAGGAATCACACGTTGATAGGAAGACGATCTAGGAATGTTAAGAATCTTTTATGTAATTCAGTATAATTACAATTTTATTTACTTTGAAGTTTATTTTTACATAAACTTTTTACATTATGTTCATATAAAAAGAAAAATATATGAATTTTTCTCTGTTAATTGCTACTGGAAAGGGTTAATAGGACATTTTGTGAATAATAAATGTACCAATCAATTGTGCACGATAAGTTTTTAAATAAATTGTTATCTTACCTCGAATCTAAGCTCTCCAAGAGGCGGTAAAGCATAAGGAATCCCCCGGAATCCCAGGAATTCCCTGCCGCGTCTAGTTGTCATAATCATACCCGACAAGGTACCATTTTTTATTGTTACCATCGGTGTATGGGCCTTTATTGTAACGAGCTCGAACAGACAGATACAGTTCAACAAGAGCCATAACAGCCTATGATATCCCATTGTTTCCTAAATTATTATTTTCAAAGGCTATATGTTTCCCTGTTGACGCGGTAGAAAACAAAAAATATACACGAATTTAATCAACGTACGTGCAAATAATATTATTGCAACGGTAATTAGAAATGAGGATTATTAAACACACAGAGACTATTGCAAATGATGTTCGTACAAAGCGTACAATAATTAATCTAATTACGATCCAATTGATGCTTCGAGTGACGATATTAAACATGAGCGTAGAACTGTTTCAAATAAATTCAATTATCGTGCAGTAGCGTTTGTGATTAATGAAATTGTTATCGATGATTCATTTCGAAAATATTTTTATCGCGATGATTGTGTATGAAGAAAATATACGTTTACGTACGGGTTTATGTCTTGATAATTGTCCACTTATTAATTGAAATGAGGAAACTTTTGGTGCAGAAAGGACGCGATAAAAACGCGTCCGCTATCTACGAAGGTAAAACTACGACTGTTTCAGGTGAGAGTCGATGGATCGTTCGATGATGTTGAGACGTTCGATCCTTCGGTACATGCTCCTCTGAGAGTATCTTAGTACATTAGTATAGAATCACATATACTTCTGACTATTTTTTTTTAATGAAAATTTGAAATCCAAATTGATTCTCATCACATATAAAGTCCAAGGTAATTTAATAAAAAATGTATAGTTCATTGTCTGCAAAAAGATTTGATTCAATTTAATCGATTTAAATAATTTATGAAATTTCAAATTAAGTTTTATATCAATACGTGTTTTGAAAATTAGATTTTCTTTCATAAAAAAGCAATCACAATGGAACATGAATAATGACATTACTGCTCACGATTTAAAAAGAACCGCCATAAATTAAGTATTTTAAAAATTCGATCTTAGCGCTATCTATACAAAAATGGCTCAAATTACTCGACAATTTATCGATCGATTTTCCGAAACGAGAGAATATAGGCTTCATCTATCGAAAAGCAGCGGAAGCTTCTTATCGACTTATCGACCGTATCTTACAATCGATATGTTGCCAACTTATCGTAAGTTAGCGCGCAGCTTTTGCTGTATTCCGCTAGATAGCGATAGTATTCCTCTTAAAAAAAAAATCGATCGGTAAGTTGTTGTGTAGTTTGAGTCGTTTTTGTATAGATGGTGCTACTATAAAGAATGAGAGCGTAAACCAATCCCTTTTCATTGAAGTCCGAAGACAAACGACGCGCTTTAGCGCGAAGCGGCGAATTTAGAATAGTGGCCATAGATACAAAAAGATTGCACATGCTTTATTATTGACAATTATCTTCAAATTAAATAATTATTACATCATATCTCTTAAAATTTATTTCTATCGATATAGCTTCAATAATTTCAATAATTTTATGATTGTAAAAATTCGCAATGCAAATTATCCCATGTGGAAATAAGTCTGTCGAAGTTGGGAAGACCGTTTGCAAGATTAATACGCGTTTCGAAAAGAAGAACGGATAGAAACGTGTCCGTGTGATTTATCAAGATCTAGAGAATAGCAGTGTCGAAAACGAGAATGTTCGACTCTCGAGGGTCTGTCATTTGTTGGAGCCGTTTGTCGTGATTTGGCCCGTTAGTCGATACTCTCGTAGACGGTGCAGTGTCTTCGACAGCCTCTCGTTCTGTCGCGAGAGCACTTCGATCTTCTCGCGATTCGAGATCAGTTGCCGTGTCATGTCCGCCACAGGATTATCCTCAGGCATTAATATCGTATCTGCTCGAAGTCCTTCAGAATTATTACTACAACTATTATTCTTCATCTTTTCATTCTTTGTTTTGATCGCAGTCGTCGATCGTAAGGATGCAATTTCTTGTTGCAGTCTTTCGATCTCCTTTCTGTGTTCATCTCTCATCTGAAAAATAACAAATTCATTGCAAATGAAAAGTAGTCTAAATTTAAAAAATTAATTCTAGTATTGAAAGGATTAATCGTAGTTCGATTTCGAATATTTCGTTCACTGACGATGATTAATTAAATTATCCAGAGCTTTTACCCGAATTTAATATTCTAAGTGGTTGGGGTTGGTTCTCAGATGAATACATGCACTCAATAATTATCATTTTAATTTCTTGCTATTTCTTATTATGGGTATTACAGTTCAGAACATAACTAAAAATCTTGTTTATTTGCTCAAGTTTGACGATACTCGTACCTTGTCACTGAAAAGTTTAAACAATATATACCGTAGAAATGGTGATGTATCCCGAGGAAGGTTTATTGCATTGGAAAATCATGATGAACAATGTCAGGAAAGTTAATCGTAAACTTTATAGACACAGAATTGTTGAAAGGAGTCTAAGCTGTAGAATCGAGCTTTTGTCAACGTGGCAATAAACTTTCGAACTTCCAAAGCCACAAGGTAAATAAGGAAGTTTCGAAAGGTAAGCAAGCCACTGTGTTGAAATTGCAGCTAACATTGAGATAAGTCGATTTATGTTATTCCAGTTAGTACACTTTTAAAAGTCTTCAAAATTAAACAACCGAGTTGGAACTTTTAGTTTTTTATTTATCGAGATGTTTAAATAATAAATAACATAAATTTTGTAAATATCGTACAAAACAAAGATAATCGTTTAAATTTTTAAATGCTCTCAGGATGAAAGATATTTAATTTTTCATAATTCCTGGTTTCAAAATACAGGTAAAACAATTTTACCTGGATTTAGTAAACTTCCTCTCATAAACAAATAAATAAACTAATAATAAATGTATGTCTGCGTCATATTCGAAGCGTAATTTACATGAAAATTCTGATTCATTGTTATAAGCTGAAAGATCTATCATCGAAATTAAAATTGCTCCATTTTCTCTGGTAAAACAGTTTCTGTTTTTTCCGTTTGGAAATCGTTGGTGTCACGTCGCTCGTAAACTTCACGGCTACTGGCGTAAATTAATTTAATCGGGTAGCCAGTTAATTCACAGGTACGCAGTCACCTATACGAAGAGCTGATAGTAGCTTAAACAGTAGCTAGTTTCTATCGTCTCTTGTATCGTTAACGCGCCGTGCAGAACAGCCAGTTAATACCGTTAATTAATCAACGAACAGCTGGTGCAAATAGGCGAAACTAATGCTCCGATGGACCTCGGAACAAATTAAGTTTCGTGCATCGGAAGTTACCCTTCGCAATCACTTTACCCGATCGAACGCGTGCCAGTGAACCTGACGAAATTGCTCGAATAATTTTCTTTCCGTTTAAAATTGATTTTATTAGCGAACGATACGCGAAGGGAGCTTTAATATATATTTCTACATACCGAACGAAATAATTCGCTTCTATTTCGACAGTGTATTTAAGTCTGATACGTAATTCTGATAATGACAATGGAATATTTCGTTAGCGAATATACGCGTTCGTTTCATAGCAGAAATTACTCTGTTTGTACGAGGTAGCTTAACGTTTCGTGAAATGCAAGACGCGAATTCTGCACCGGGTTTTAATCGTTTCGGAATTCCTGCTTTTGATGTACTATTTGTTCTATTAAAGGAAACGATAGGTTTTGGTCAGTTTTGTTGTGAACATTCCTTCTCGGCATTTGTCTGCATATTCTAAGTAATCAGTTACTTGAAATACGATATACGCTTGAAAAAATGGTTAAAGTTAATTGATAAATTTCATTTATCCGGCTACGGCTTCTTTTAAACAGGAGGGAAAATCGTTTAGCGGATCTTTTACACGGACGCAAAATGAACTCACCGAATCGTTCTCCTTTCTCGATTCGTTCAGAAGCATTTCGGTACGTCGTTCTGTCTCGAGGCACGCATCACGGGTGTCGATGACTTCCTTCCTCAGTCTGATCACGGTCTTCTCCAGCTCCAATTTGCTCTCGACCAACGTAGCCACCTGACTTTGCAAAACGCTATTTCCGCCGGCTGCAATGAACGTTCGAAAATAAGACTATTTCTGGCGAGATCTTTCTGGATACTGATCACTTCCGTCCAATGACGACCCCTTGTCAAAATTTTCCTCGGAAATCTTGCACCTCGAAGATGAAACTATCTACCTCCATTTTCAACGTACAAGAAACGTTCTCGCGTATTGCCCCGTGTCTCGATACCTTTTTACTTACTCAGATTCGATATCTGTCGCCTTGAATCCTCCATTGTTTCCTTCAACGTCTCGTTTTCGCGTTTCAACGTTACATCGGTTCGTTTCGTCAGCTCCAGTTCCCGTTCCACTGTAAACCAATATCGAGCAAAGTGTAATCCATGAATAATTTCGTTTGTAATTTAACCCTTCAGACTCGACAGATTGTTACACTCTAAGGACGTATAAATTCTCCTACACTATAGAAACATATTAAGTTAACGTCGGTCTTATCGTACGAAAGTTGAGCATTCAGATATTTTAATATTCTCATTACAAATAAAATTTTCTGAGCAAAATTACTCCGACAGAGGCGACCATAATGAAAGGGTTAATTGGAACTATGTTCTAACAGCGTATCGACAAAGCTCGATCGACTGTTCAGAATTTAATCAATAAGGGAAGTTCTGGCAACAAAGCAATGCCCATTAAAAGGGAAGAATAGAGAGGAAAATGATACAGGAAAGAAGGGAAAGATAAGATGAATGTAGATGCTGTCGTTGAAGTGATGGACAGCTCTTGAAAAGGATACCTAGCCGGAAACCTGCCATTTTCTAATGCGTTCTCTAGCTCCAAGTTTTTCACTTGCAAAGTATCCACCCGTTTCTTTTGTGTCGTCAAGTTGGACTGTAGTTCACGAATCGACTTTTCGTGTTCTCGTTTAACGGCCTCTATCTTCAAATTGCTGTTCCTCATTTTCTTCAGCGCCATTTCGATGTCTTCACCTATGGCTTTGGTTAATTTACTCATTACTGACCATTGCGTTCGTTCGATGAGGTTGCTCTTGCACTCGTTTCTGTAATAATCACAGATTACGTGAACAAGCAGTAACGTTACGCATTACGTTCGCTTGGAATCTTTTTTCTTATCCTCGCGGAAAGGGTGGCCGTTGAGCGAGATTTTATAGCGACAAGGGAGACGTAACACCCTGGAAATTGATTTTTTATGGTTGCTCAGAAATTTTAAAGGTCTTCTCCGGTTCGTTCGAGGGCGAATCTAATGTTTATTCGACGTTAACGCGAGAATCGTTGCTATCGATGGAATTTTGAAGAATCAGAGGTTCAGAATTTATGAATATCATATTGCATCATTGAACAAGATTACACTTACACTAGAATATCGTTAGGTAACATGATATTCATTATTATATCGTGATGGATATTACCTTTGTGCAGCGGCGACAGAAATTAATTTGTTCTCGACGAAGATCTCCTCGATCGTGTTTATCGCTTGAAGGATGGTTTCGCCTGCTATCCTACAACTCTCGCAATAGTTCATGCTACCACCAGCTTGACAACTTCGAGAGACTTTGGGCGTAAAGCATTCTTCCGCCTCTTTCTGGCTATTCTTCACCTGTTGACGTGCTGATATTTTTCGTCAGCATCCTCCGATTGGATGAGAAAAAAAGTACAACGGCAGGAAGTGATCGATTTGGAACTTATCATGAAACTTTTATAGAACATGTGTCTATACACGTCTATACTAAAGGCTTCTCTACTGAAATTTTCAAGAATTATTCGACAAATAAATTCGTTTCAAAATCGATCATTTTCACGAACATTATCGTATACACCATTCGAAAATTGTGTGCTTTACTTTTCTTTATTCTTGCTCTCGTTTCTTGTTATTTTTTCATTATGTTCATTATTTCCTCATTTCCTATCTATTTTTCTTCCATTTACACCTTGCTTTTGCCTTGCTTTCTCGTTACTTTGAGAAAATACAAGGTAGCAGTTCAGTTCTTATTGAAAATTATATTCTTCAAAGTTGTAATTTATTATATTTTCAGTATTGAAGAATTTTGTTTAATATCAAGAAAGATTGAGAATTAGGAAAAAAGAGAGGAAAAATAAGAAACACAATGTTCGAGGGATGCATGATAAATTTCAACCACCAATATTTCGAAGAAAATCTTTTTAATGAAATAATTCAAAACCCAATTTCACAAGCTTCCTCTAACTGCTTTGTAATTAACCTAACTTTGTCCTACAATCGTGGGTTTAAAGTGGCTTTAAAGTTCTTTCAAGGGACTGATCTTTTCATTAATAGCTTCCGTCTGTGTTTTAAACGATTTCAAGTCCTATCTCGATGTAAAAATTTCAATTTCTTGTATGACTTTTACTCGTGGAACTTTTTTACTGCGTTGTATCCAAAATAGGACACTTAGTGACTTTAAAAACCCATCAGGAAGTAATCTCAATTAAATGTAATTGAAAATGGACGGTTTTAAGAAATTCACTTTTGAAATTTGACTTACCATCTGACGGGATATCGATTCAGGTATCGTTTTTAATCGATCCCAGACAAGTCTTAACAAATTCGCCAACGAGATCTGATTTGGTCGATTGACACATGTTACTTCTTTGAAAAAATCATCTATGAAGGGATACTTGTCCAAGAATTCCACGATCAAACGTAGAAGGAATTGAATTCTGCAAAAGAATTCATTTTTTACTGAAATGATACCATCGTTTTATTCTTCAAAATCAAGAGCATGCAACAGTATGCAAATAATTTGAAACTCGAAAATTTGTAATAGACTGTCGAATAGCTATCAGAAACTATGCGATACTTGCAAAATTTCCAGACTATCAACTCTTCCAGAGTTTAAACAAAATTTCCAATGATTCGAAACTAATCGAAGCGATTCGCAGCGATTGCCGGCCCATCGCTACGCGCCCCTAATCGAATCGCTCCAACTACCCTTACTAGATGGCGAAATTTGAAGCATTTTCCGACGTTGGACATTTCACGGGAGTAGAAACGGGAACGTTTTTGTTTCGGGAAATTTTCAGCGAATTTATGCAAATGTACAACGACGTCGAAAAAGGAGTCTAAGCAACCTGTCGTAAGCCAGCTCCAGGAGAAGAATATAGAATTCCCCTGCGGTTCCTTCGTATTCCTTCACAATTTCCATGGCATTTATGTCCCTCGCGATCTTCGTAGGGAATTTCCATGACAGATGTTCGATACCACCGACCCAAGAATATATCTCGTTCGCGACACATACGCATTCTCTGATATCCGCGATGATTGACGTAACCAGGAGCTTGTTCAGTTTTGGCATGATTACGGGGTGCAACAATGCTTATTCAGGTTAAGATCGTGGATCACTGCGAATATCGATCAAAACTACGAAACCGTGACCGAATCGATTGACGTCTCGATAGTTGACTGATTAATCGATGCTGATCTTATGGAGTTTTCGCTGGTTGCTTGTTCGAGCGCAACCTTTGTGTCGTTCTTGCATTATGAGACCTGTGAAGTCAGCTAGTGAGCCACCATTTGTTCATTTTTTAAGATATTTTCCTGTAGTTGCTCAGTTTCTTTCATAAATTGATAAGTGAAGTTATGGTACTTAATATGAAGATTATTTTGGAACGAAACTTTCTTTTGTTAACTACAGAGTATTCTATTACTTCATTACTTGGTTTTGGTTTTATAAAAGGAACTTTGTGTGGGTGTAGTTTGTTCTGAGAACAATCGGGTTCTGAAGATATATTCCCTTCAAATGAAACTTTTAATAAGATGCTGAAGATTGTTCTTCTTCTTCAAAATAACAGCAACTTAACTTCTTGATTGGTGTATTTATTTTTGACAAACTTTGAAGTTGAAATTGATATAGGGTAAGTGCTATTTGGCAATACTTTTATGTCAGACTTTTGATATACAGTGATATGATATTTGCTTTTGCATGTGACTTGAGAAAATGTTCCTTATCCGATGCAGTGTTCGTAAAATATACGATGTGCAAGAAGTTTGGCAATTTCCATTCACAGATTTGTAGTTACGCGTGTTGTAGAAGGGAATATTCCTACGAAACATTTGCAATGAATTGTCCTTATTCCACGGGTTCATCGCTTCGATCATAAAACTTGTGGAACTGCCTTTGTTATTACACTTTCTGACCTCCTGTTATTCTTGTTGACGTGTACACAAACCTTGGTATTTCTATCCTGTTTCGATCGAATTTATTTCTCGTGAAGAACAATCGAGAAATTTCAATTGAAATTTAATTTAACCAATTTTTCGTTTTAGTTCAACCTAACAATTGTGTGTATAATTATTGTTTACACGTTAAATGATATCAGCTTTTAGTTTTCTTCCTTATCTTAAAAATTTGTGCGGTGTGATTTTGAAAAATTATTATTTTTATAGCATAGGCTTTTTATAATTTATCCAGGAAAACATCTATGAATCACTTTGTAATTGTGCTCGTAAAATGAAAACTTAATTCAATACCTTCGGTTCTTCTTTTATTAGAATCGTAAATCGGTTTGCATCGATAAATTTCTTCGGAAACGTGGAAGTATAATTGTTCCTTTGAGACGGAACAGTGCCAGGTCATTTAACCAAGAAAACTTTATAGGTACAGTTGAATAATCTGCAAAGTTCTTGAAGCCGTTTCCGCTTCTTTGATGAAGTCGTGAGCACGTTAATCTATCCACAATTCTCCAGATTTAATCTTTATCGGTTTCGACAGGAGTATGGAAATTGCCGAGTGTCGACTTACTCGGTTACCAATATTCCAGCGGGTATTAGATCGCGTCGCGATGAAACTGTCGAACGAATTAGTTCGTTCCTGTTTTAAAACTTTGATTGAGTTTTCACGGTTTGGAACTGCTGAACGGCGCAAGAACACGACTTCCTGTAACGATGCAGGAAACACTTTACAACCAGTGGTAATAAAGTTCTCTGCTATTTTTCAATCTTCCTTTGTGTTAGTGGTCAAATTAAAAGTATTCTATTTTCTATTATCAAATTAATTATTTATCGTTTTAAAATTTAGATAATATATTTCTTATATATATAATCCTTCTTTAATTACATATCATTTTTAAATTTAGAAATTAGCTTAATCCTTATTTAATTACTTACCATTATGAAATTTAGAAATTAGCTTAATCCTTATTTAATTACTCACCATTTGAAATTTAGAAAATAGCTTAACCCTTTAATGAGTTTATTTTCGTTTTTCTTACCAATTCTTCAAAATTATCGAATATCGGTCCGATCAGTCATTTTCTGGATACCTAGTTACGTTTGTCACTTTCAATTCATTACTCAGAAACTACATGGGAAACTTTACTATGAGCAGTTTACAGGGTTTATGAAACCATTTGCAAGTACTAGTTAGAGCTGTGCTTCGGACATCCCTGTAACGTTGCCAATCTACAGCAAATTTAGTCCACTATTATAGCTATTATTCGACGTCACTGCTTAGCGAACAGCAAACTCTTCGTGGATGCACAGAGACCTAATTAGGGTAGACATTTTGTAGGAGACAACACGTTCTGTACGATTTAAGTTCGGTTGTTGGTGCTGTTGTCTCCACCATGTGACAGAATATATTTCGTTAAATAGCAAATTGACTCGATTTACGCTAAGTTTGCTGCATAATTCTAGTTGGCTCGTTATTGTCCGAGTTTCAATAATTCTGTGGATGATATAAATTGGCCTTGTTTAGAAGCCTAGTTGTCGGAAATTTGAATTAAATATTAATCGTCTGTGATCGAATTTCATGGTTGGAAAACCATGAAATCGATTTCAATATTACAACTGAGTGCACCAAAAGATGCAATTAAATGCATCTCTCTTTGAAATGCAACTGCATATTTTTCTTGTTTGTTCGATACTTCGAAAGATAGACGCAATTAATCCATAAAAAATATTTGATTTAATATTATTGCACTGAACTTAGAGAAATATTACTCGATGTTGCATGATTGAATAAATAACGGTATTTCGTGTAACGATCCGTGCAATAAACGTATAAACATGACAGGATGGTTACGGAACATTGAACAACATTTTTAGAAGGAAAAATATTGTACATTTGCGACTGCGCTATCTTGGGTATTTTATTATATAATAGTAGCACAGTGCACTGTAGTTTATTAGTATTTTGCGCTAAGTAAAATCGTACTACAATTTTTGAAATCATCGATTTTTTTCAAATAATTTTCAAAGTAGAGAATGTTCCACGCTTTCGCGAGATTTAAACTATTCAGCAATTTAATTGACGATCTCTGGAAGATCATTGATAGTCCGTATGAGTCGTAATTAAACAGGAAAGTTGTCTGAACGTTGAGTTTCTTAATTGTAACGCGACGCCAGTTGGTGCAAATGAAACTTTCTTAATTTCTACGTACGCGGTCTATAGAAGCATTTCAGGTGGGCCTGTTGGTGCGCTTTAATATTACAGATTCAGAATTTAATTTGCGTGAGCGTGGTTAGCGATTAGAGGAGTAATTATCTTTAAGATTCTATATGTTGCATCGTGTGCTACAGGCTCTCTTAGAACTGCAATTCGTAATAGCAATAGCTGATTCAAATTATACAAATTTCTCAAAGAACTATGAAAAGGTATGAAGTTATTAGGTGAACGTATTTGACAAGACACATTATTGTATACAATAAAAAAAATAAAAAAAAGTAAATCGTATGAACAATTAACTTAGATAAACAGACAAATTAGAGGAATAAAAAATAAATGAAAATAAAAGTTTCTGGAAGGGAATAGGTACATTCATCGTCCTTAGGGTTTTATTACTGTGTGGCAATTCAAGTAAACGAGATAAACGAGGTAAATTAAGTAGTCTCGGTAATTTACCGCGACCAAGCATATTATACGGCGTATAATACTGGCTAAAGATTTTAGAAAAGTAATTTTCTTCAGAGGTAATTGAAAACTATTTAGTTTAAGGAAATTTACATTTTTCGAGCAGTTGAATTACTCGAAATTCTCTAGCTTCAGTGTGAAGCTTAGAGATAGGTGTCCGCATGCAATGCCGTACACTGCCTAAAGTACATTAGCGGAAAACCACAGAAGATGTACGAGTGTACTGCGAATATTGGGATACGAATGAATTATGCACCGTTCGGGAATGGGGGTTACGAGTAACGTTGGTTCATAATGGAACCGCGCCCGATATAATTTACTGGTATTTAGGTTCTCCTATAATACGTTTGCTCGTTAAGCTAATCACACCCTTCGCTGTTGCACTTTGTTACACTGGACCCAACGATCGTTGGGGCGGCATGGAGTTGAAGGTTTGCATGGTAGAAGCTTGTATCTAATGGTACATTCGTGAAACCTGGAAATTCGGAAAGGTACTTAATTCTGGAACTGGTAATCCTCTTTGAAACTCGCGATATCGCAGCATGAAAGCTTCATTTTATCCTAACGTGTGCGTAGAATAGGGAATAAAAATATTATTAATAACTGTCGTATGTAGTTTAGAATTTTGAATCTTCATTTTGATTTATTTGTAGGAGTCATTGCTCTTTTGACTCCATTTATCAATTATTTTTAATTATATCATCAGGTGAAAATAGACAAGTTTTAATTGTTATTTTATACTTATCCGTTATCAGGCATTATAAAAGAAATTCAGATAGGAATAGAATGCATTAGGAAAGGTGAAGAAATAAATTGAACACTGGATTCGTGAAATTCGTTTTTTATGAAACAATAATGTACAGATATCTATAGTAAATTCCATCTGTAATAATTCGTGTTCACATTATTTACAGAAATATATTTATTTCTTTACATGTATATCGGTGAGCTCGTGTTTCTATTTCGCGTTTTGGTCTCACGTATGAATCGCGTTTACAATCGATTCGCGACGATAATTATCTTAACGTTAAGTTCGGTTCCGTTAGAAACTAGGCTCGTTACTTCTCACACTCACACACATACATACGTGCAATTGCACATGCGCCAGGTGAACACGACGTATATTAACATATACGGTTTCGAGAAACGTGATCAACATCTAAAGCCATTAGTTTTCGTCTTCTTTATCTACGAATATCGTGCCCAACGGAACGGTAATCATCATTCCTTTTCGTTTCCATCGTTATCGTTATTTTAGTGATTTTCGTTATTTTTTCGTCGGGGTGCAAGCTGTTGTTCCATAGTTTCAGTGTACTCTAATTTATTCGACAGCTAAAGTGTAAAGTATTACGTATGATGCTAATAAAGAAAGAAAGAACGTACTTTCTCCTCTTGTGATTTTGGGATCTAAAACTACAAGAAACATGGAACAACACTTCTCCCTTGGTACTGTTTGTACAGGGTGTCTCAAAGTAAAACCATCAAAGTAGAAATAAAAAAAAATGTATACACATCGATTCACAAACGCTTTATAAAAAAAGTTATAACAAAAATATGAAACCTAAACGTAATTGTTGGTATAGTATTATAAATAGGCCGGTGATGTTTGCTATTTAAAATGATGACACGTTGTCTGAATACAATTCAACAATACTAGATTAAAAATTGATTGTATAAAATCAAATCTTTACCATTTTATACGGTCGGTTTAAGTTTTATCTTGTACCCTCCAATATACTTAACACGTTGACTGCCGAAAAATAAAAAAATGAAAGAAAATTTATATTTGCATTAAAATTATATTACGTAGCAAGTGAAGAGTTTAATTTAGAAAACGAAATGGTTGCATTCTGAGCGATAACGCGTCTGACTACACATGGATATTTTCACTGTGACAGTCAACGTGATAGCGAACCACCTTTTGTTCCTGTGTTTCATAAAATATACTGGTCCAGATTAATCTTTGTGCCACATTGTTGCAAAAGAATTGCTCGAATCGTTGACATTCACCTGTCTACGACCACAAAGATTATTTACAACATATTTACGACAGTTTCACCGACAGCCATGCTGGTGAAGCTTTTATTACACGCTTTTATTCGCGTTCAAAAACGTTTGCTATCGGATCGATGACCAGCTGGTAAGAACACACGACTGTAAAACGGATCGTAAGAAACAAGGCAATACTTGCTCCGTATTTGCATTCTCGCCGAGTGTTGCTTCTTCGAATGATCGCGAGAAATGCAAAGGATATTCGTTGTCTTTTCGAACAGAACAGTTGGATCACTTCGCAGACAATATGTCTTGTAGAAGCATCGCTTTTATAGCCGTCTTGCGACAAAGAGATCGTACCAGGAACCGTACGCTTCTGCATTCATGCTCAAAAGTCATAAGACACGTACTAAAATTTCACAAAGGCCCCGTTATATCAGCAGCGCAATTAAAGAATTTAAAAGAAATATTTGTAAAAATGTCAGTAGGGAATAAACAAGATAATAACAACATTTTTTTTAAATTATTGCGCCACTGTTTTACATAATAATATAAATCAATCACAAGCAAATATACAGGGAATTTTTTTTACCACTTATATAAAAAATTAAATTTTAAATTAAAATTATTATTTAATATATATATGTACACCTTTCAAATAATCGTAGAATGTCATAAAAGACGTCGAGTGTTCAAGAAATACAAACACAAGAGTTTCTAAACGAGACATGTCCAAGATTCGCGTCGATGAAAAAGGTACACAGGATCACGTTCTCAATTTCCCGAAGTCTTGTTCAGAAATTGAAGCTCTGTACGTATAAGATCGGAATCGAAGCTAAGTTTTGAGTCTTGACTTACTGTAAATAGAGAATCACCGTCGGGATACTCCTCTACTCGAACATTTTATTCTCGTCAATGATCCTTGACCGAACGTAAGAAATCTAATACGCTGATGCAACGTAAGACATTTCTTTGTCCTGGAAATGCTATCCTTCTTTCGGATAACGAACGATACCGGAGGTCGACAGGAAAAACGTCCTCCCTTGTAATTCCCTCGGTATCACGCGGAAACACATGAGTTTCATCAGTGGATCCAGGAACAACCTCCACCGAAGAGTGTATACGTACTTAGGTCAGTTAAATACAGGGCGAGTCTAAAGTGGAGGGTTTCCTAAATGAAATAAACATTTGAGAAGGAATCGGTTTTGAGAAAATTTAATTCGAAGATTATTTAGATACTCATCAGTGTTTCCCATGATTGAAATAGCTCACTACAATGAGTGAGCTACTTGCTTCCGGCAGCAATTTATACGCATTGTGCTGATGCTTTCTTATTCATTGTCTGAGAAAGTTGTTCAAGTACTTGCGCGTGTTGTCAGAGCATTGAAAGTTCACTAAGTCTGTTTAAGATGGCTCGCGAATGCTTGTTTGATGAATATGATAAATTTAAATGGATTTGGATGAATTTCAGAGGGAAGTTTGTTAGGGAAAAAAGTTTCTTTTTCAATAATGTTGAACTTTTGCGGTGACTTAAAAGTGTTTCTGAATATTGCAGAATTTTTTAATTGCAAAACGCATTTCCATTAGAATTTACTTCACGGAACGATGTTCTTTGTTTAAAATTATGGTAAATAACGGAGTAATATTTTTCTGAGTTTCATATTTCCTTTTGTAACCCTAATATCTCTCTTTCATCTTATCATACTAGGATGCAAATTTCACAGAATAAAAAAGAAGAGGAATATTCAGAGAACTACATTGAAGTTGCTCGTTTCGTTGCGCGGATGATTCTTCATTACCTGTCTACCTTTTATTAGAATATTCTTAGCTCACAGAGCTCTGGCTTTCACGGTATACTTCTGTCGGTGACAAAAACGTTGCGGATTATTAAGAATAACAAAAATTGCAATTTTTAGAATTAACGAACAAAAGAATGCAAGCACAGCGTTAGAATTTATTGGCTATTAGAAGTATGTTACACACGGGGGATTAATTTTGAAATAGCTGCGACAGTTTTTCATCGTAAACAGGGTGGCTCAAAGCAACAAGATTCCAAAAAGTAATACCAAAAAAATCAATATAAACGGATGGAAGAGTTGGAGCGTTTCTCGTTAAAGTTCCGCAACTAGTCGAAGCAAACGTATTTCCGAAACTTCCCGATTAACCCCGTCGAAGATGTTTTTTCTTCCGGAGTTTCGCTCACGGGTTCGCGAAATCTTTCCGCAAAACTTTGCGGCTAAGTTTATTTGCTCTTGAATGTCTGTTCATTGTTCTACCCTTCTCATTGTCTTCCTCCGAAGCGCTATATAAATCTCGTCGTTGTCATTTCTTAAAATCTTTCGCGCTTTTTCAATCGCTATCAGCTTCTTTCCTAATAAAATAGAAAAAAAGTTCACGAATCTCCTGAAATTTCGCTCGAATTTCATATTGTAATTTAATAACATGGAAAATTGCAATAATAATAGTAAGTTTAATTTTCGAATTTATGATAAGAATAATAGCGCCTTTGAAACTCGTTATAACGATAGAAATGATTATAATTTCCATGCAATATTGATAATGAATTCGATACCTGGGCATCATCAAATACCGAAATGACTGCCCTCGTAAATGACTCGCTCGCATGAAGTTGTAGTGCTCGGATATCCCTGTGCGTAATACACAGGAGAGTTGTTCATTTCAGTTTCTACTGCAATTCCCTTGTTGCTAGCCGGAAATGGAACGGTTTTGTTAGCGACCCTCGATCTTGTACTCTGTGTAACGCGAACAAGCGGAAACATCCTAGACGCGATTAACATCGTTGATCTAACATCACTCTAATGAGATCGGTTTGAGATCAATCTTGCGAACTTAAAAATAATCTCCTTGAAAATGTCTTAAAGAAAAAGCGAACGAGTAACATTGTCACTCGCATACCCCTTTCTATCGCGTTACTTTGAAGTTTCACTTACGAACACTTCATCATCGAGCGAGAAATTCCTTTTAAGTCGAATTAAGTGGAACGAGTTTCATTTCCACCGAATTTCCCACCTTTCGCGAAAATTAATTTTACCTGCACTTACGTTCTCCTCAGAACGATACAACGAACACTTTCGGCTCGAAGCTATCGCAAAAGCAAACTAATATCCGACAGCGATGACGACTCCGATAGAAATTCTGATGTGAAATTTCAAGGAGAATATCGAAGGCAGTATTACATTTCCGGCTACTTTGTACAAAGTAAGCTTTGTTCGAGAATGAAAGTAAAAAATAAGAAACTATTCAATTTTCAATTCATTATTAATTTTTCATTTTTATCCCTTTGAAGAAGAAGTTAATGGTAAATGCTAGTAATTCTATTTTCAAATGTTTGCAAATTTTTATCATTTTTTCCATCGTTTATTCAGCATGTAATTGCTGGAAAAAAATTCGTTTGCTAACAGTAATTGTTTTTATCTTCAGAGATCTTTCATTTGAAATCGAAGCACTTGAACCTCTCAAGAATGCCTTTTTCAATTCAGATAGTAATCTAGGGTTAAAGTGAATCTGATTTCACGGCGCGGGAGGTCGATTCTCATCGTTTGCGTCACTTCCGATCGGTTTCGAAGCGTTTTCCCTTTAATCCTGCCCGTTTTCTGCACTTTCATTCCCAGTACTGCCAATCTAATCGTCCCTCTGATCGACACGTGATCTTAAAACCGTGCGTTTCCCGAAAATTCCACACATCTGAGACCGCTGTTATACTCGACTTTGTGAAAAGGAATTATCATAAATTTGAATTAAAACGTGCTTTTCTTTCTAACTTGCGGTGAATTTGTTCGAGGAAAATTGGGAAAATTGCTTGAACAGATTTTCTCGATCGATTCGCGCTAAGGTTTCGCTGGTTCTTCTTTGAACGCTGAAATCTTGGATGGCAGTGTTCGCTCGAAGAATCCTTAAGAGACCAGGTTTTCGAACACATGTAACATTCAGCAGTTTTTTTACCCTGGTGATCCTTTCCTTAAACGGTTCTCATAAAGAGTACTCCATTTTGAAAAAATTCTTAAGAGAAACATAAAAGCAGTGAATGATTAATTAATAGCGTTAAACCACCCGATCATGATTTTCTTGTTTCGATAAAATTTTGAAGAAAATAATAAAGAATGCAATCGAATTGCTTAACAAATTTATTCTTCGATGACTTGGTACTTTTTTGTTATTTGTATCAACGATACAGCAGTCGCACTTGATAGTTTTTTTCGAGAATTTAATTCATTCCTGCTCGAAAAACGGAGATTCTGTGACAATCACTTCTACAATGGATTTTATTCGACGAATTTCAAGGAAATTCCCCGACACTTTGTTTCGACGATCAACACAATGTCTGTCCCATCGCATTTAACACCCTTTTAATCGAACCGAATCGACTTTATCCGAACTCCTTTCACGGTTCGACTGAAGTATCCTCGTCACGTAGCACTTGTAAACCTCATTTAGATCCTGCGAGCGGTTTGAAAGTTGTCAAAGTTCATCGAGCAGTTTTGGAATAGTCATTACCGTCGTAGATTGTTTCCTTAACCGTTTCGAATATTTTCATCGCGTAACTTTAAATTCTTCGAAAATTTATTCAAAAACTTGCTCTGGCTCATTTTTCAACCGAGTTTGCAATCGCAAAAGAGAATAGTCAAACTGTCTTAAACAACGTCGCATCACTCGATGAGTCTTGTAACACTTTTACAACACTTGTTAAAATTCAATTAAACGCATTCTAGCGCGATTCCAAAGCTCCCGAAAATCGTTCATGATTAGGTATCATTCGTTGATCCCTGACGCTGATTAATCGGTAGTTCCCTCTGTACACGTACGTCCAACGTAACACGAGTCTGTTGCCCGGAAGAAGTTGGATAGAACCGGAATTAATCCTGTCTCCCTTCGAGGTGACGTAACAGCGCAACGGGATAGGGGACAGTTTATATGTCACGTAGGTTAACCCTGTTCAAGCTACATCCTTGAATCTTCCAAGCGTAGAATAGACGTTCTTCTATCTCGAGGCACGATACGTTGAATCATTGATAAATTGTACCTAATATTCCTCTGTAAGGAAATTCGAATTTGATGGAAATCGTGAATTCTCTTCGAAAACCTCCGTATCTATAAATTCATCGTTTGCCCTGATTAATCACAGCTGCATTCACTTTTCTCGTGCTGTTTAATACCCGAAATCTCTCAGGACGTTGGTGGCTCGTTAGGATCACCTGTTGTCTTAATAGGGCAGATTAGAGGGAGGCTTCTTCGGGAGGTTTCACCTGGAATGTGTAACAGAGAGGCATTCACCGGAGGAGGCTGAAACGGGCATTAACTGGTTGCGTCTAGGTGGGAGGGCAGTATGGCGAGGATAAGGGAGAGCAAGAGAACACTGGTCAGCGAATGGCAGCTGGTCGTTTCAAGGGACGCGGCGGATTTCGTGGGTGGATTTCTGGCCTGGTCATTCATCACGTCGCTGGATATCGCGGCGCTGTTCGGCTCCGCCGAGGGACAGCTTATCGGGACGCTCATTGTGTCGTTGCTGGAGGTGGAATCTCGAGAGCAACGGCTCGCATGGTGACCCAGACAGGCGGCGTACGAGATGGCGTGAGGTATATAGCTCTGGTCGATGCTGCCGGAGAACAAGACATTGGCCAGAGGACCGATGGCGAACACGGGCACATCCTCTCCGCCGTGTGTCGCCCAGGCTCGTGGCACTCCTGCTGTCTGGAAAGCCAGAATTGATATTTGATTGTCGGTTAGCGGAATTTGATTTGGGGAAACACCTTACATAACGCTTAGCGATGAAATGGATAAGTCATGTACCTTTGATAACTTTAATATTAATATTATGCCATAAAGTTTGTTAATTTTTATATCGACATGCAAATACTCTGCGTAGCAGAAGGGTTAAACGGGATTTCCGTTAACGCCTCAACTACGTACCACGTCACATGTAAATTTTCATAGGAATTCAAATAGCGAAATAGTTACAGTTATTGAATAACCCGGAAGATCCTTAAACGATTAATTTCCCCTCGTTTCATCTACCTAACTATTCCTTAATATCAAAGCGTACGCTTTTGTAATCCGTGTCGAAAGGATAATAATCACGGAACAGGTACGATATATCGCGCAATAAATTTCCAACCGGTTACCGCGATTTGCCTGCGTGAACGAAATTCCAGCCGGCGGCCTCGTTACCGAGGGCAAGCTTTGCAAGCCTGCAATTTCGACCTTGTAATTATGATGCACGAGCGAGCGGCACTAACATTCTGCTGTAACCAGCTTGTCACTTTGTTCGGGGCGCAATGTTTTCGACGCTGCTAGGGGATGCTTCTTTGATTCGTTTCGCTCGTTTCCGTTCTCGTTTTCCAGTTCTGCCGCGAGGAAAGAACGGAAGAGAAGGAGGAAAAAAGAAAGACGCCTCACAAGGGTACTTTTGCTCTGCGCCCCACGGTTGAAGCCCTTTGGCACGTTCACCCCGCGATCAATTGAAAGGGTACATCCTGATGTACGGTAGGGTTGCGCCCGGCTCGTGTGCTGGTAATCTTTGTTTGCAAGGAAACTGACAATGGTATTAGCGAGCTCACCAACAGATTTTTATCGGATATACAAGTTGGAAATGCGCGTAAAATTTTCATCAAATTCGGAAACTCCGGGAAGTACTTGAGCTAGTTGAGTTGAAATTGACACCTGGCGAATATTAGGTGGCCAATTTGATCAGAAATAAGAAAATAAATTTAATAGAAAATGTTAGAAAATTGTTCTTGCAGATATGTAGTACATCTTACAATTAGTGAAAATTTTATGGAATTCTCAGACAACTGGTCAAATCTATCTCGATCATATAAAGATGTATATTGTTTGCATAAATGAACAATTATTCTTCTTTATCCTATAAACATCGGGTAAAGTTATGTACTAAACTAGCAGCAACAGCGTTCTGCGACCACTGAAGTGATCCGACATCTTTTTCCTCGTGTACGTTTTCTCGTGGAAAGTTGGCATAATTTATGACACGATGCCCAGAGGGCCAGTGTTACACGTGCAACTCACAGGACGCTCGTATCGTAAGATTTTTCCGAAGCTTCCGGTTCGTCTCAGGTTCCGTGAATGATGGGGCCATAGGAGCTAGAATTCCTCCTCCTATTTCCTGTTCTTCTCGTTCAGGAAATCTTTATAACTCGTGTCATCGTTTTCTATGGTTTTTCAAACGATAAATAAAATGAAAAGTATTGGAAACTTGCCGCTGTTCTTGTATCCAGAAAAATTCGAATCATTTTTGTTATAATTCAATCAACCGATTGGTGGTTTAAAAATAGAATTTTAAATAATGTTTATTCTATTAACGAAGACTACCTCTTTAAGATAGAAAATTCATTTTCTCTAATTTATGCGTCGGCACATCCAGCCGCAACGACGACGAGGTACACCTCGAGGAACCTCGTAAAACGTCGAATGAAAGAAAAGAAGTGGTAATCCCAGGAGAGGTAGCTCTCTTACGATCGTTCCACAATTGTCCCCGAAATGTACGGTCTGGATGGTACGATATTTCGAGGAATTATTGTCGGTCCGAGGGTGAACGTTAAATATCTCCGAGCGGTGCAGTTGTCATCCATCATCCAGCCATTCGAATTGAACCTTCCTTAGAAACTGCATCCCATAGAATCGTTCAGCTTTGTCGGTGCCTCGTGAACGGAAACGATATTCCTTCATTCGGAATGTAAACAGAGTTATCGGAGCGTGCAACAACTCGATAAAGTTGATCAATCAAACAGCAATTGTAAAAGTAATTTGAAAAGCTCACGCGAAATTACTCGCGGATTTATCGGTCTTATCATTTTACTTCGCCCTCGATTGAACTGGGCAAGAATAAAATCCACTATCTTAGTTAGCTATCTTGGAAAATCGTAAAGGAAATGGATGATGAACTATTAAGAGGTTTACGTGGAAACGATGCGGTATTTTCTTGTACTGTTAGGAAAGCAATCATTGATTTATTTCAGTTCTTTTCTCTAAACGAACGTTTTGTATTCGAAGAAAACGGAAAGGAAACTCGATATAAGTTACAGATTTTGGAACACTATTCTAAAGTTTTCAATAGTGAACACAATGATCATTTTACTACGTTTGCAATTTTATTCACAATTTTAATAAAAAAGGTAATTTTTGGCAAAGTACAATTCCTTGGCTCAAAGCTAGAATTTTAATTACAGAATTTTCTGAAGTATGTCAAAGACTTGTTTAATGGGAAAAAAATAAAATAAATAGTAGCCAAGTATCTGATATTCACGCGTTCAAAGCGTTTCGCGGGAAACAATCAAATGTATTACGAAGGGAACGGTCACTTTAATGAACGCGAAACTTTCATTGTTCCACGGATTTTCTTTCTTTTCCGTTTCATATTTTTTTTCCTTCCAATCCTTTCGCACGCGGATTCAACGCACACTTCATTTTTCTGAAACTGGGTTACCAGATGATTCTATCGACACTGAATCGCGTTTCTCTTTCAGTACGGCTTAAAACTGGCAAAGGGGAACGTGGCCATTGAGAAACTGAACATTTATACATTAATTAACGCATAATTGTTAGACCCGAGGGGAAATTTCTTTTTGCGAAACGTTTGATTAATCGATTACTACGCGATGGAGGCTTTTTAAGAAAAAAATTAATCAAACGAAGGAAAATATTAATATATTCGAGATTGAAACGTTTTTACGTAAAAAGCAATATTTTTTCTGATTATTATAACTCTTCAGTTATTTACTTTTTATATTGATCTGAAACTAACATCAGTTTTAATTATTATTCCGGAGTTCTAATTTGAAACTAGATCGTACGTGTCTATGCATTGGCTTTGAATATATTAATCACAAAATATTTCTTGTTTTATTTTTAATTCTTTTCTGTTCACGATGCAACCTCAGCAAATTTTGGGGTTTACGAGAATCGAACGTTTGTAGCCAAAAATTAAATCGATCAGAAAGAATTTCAATTCTCAGATTGATTCGGAAGAAATTGTGGAAGATAGAAGAGCAGCGATGATAAAATATGACTGAGAATTTGGTCGAATCGAAGATGATTGATCCGAACGAAATACTTCGTGAACTGTGAGTAAATCTTTCATCGAGGGTCATCGATGATCGGTGCCATATTCGAAATACTCCTATTTCCAATCAACGAAGACCCAGTTCCATCATTCACGGGTTAAGAAAGTGAAAATGCATTGGAAATCAGCACGAGATATTGTCACTATTTTTCATTTCGCTTCTTTTACGTCAAAGAGTACCTTTAAATATTATCTGTACGCGTTAATGAAAAATTTCAATCTTTCAAAAATGAAGCCACATTTTTCATATGTATATAAGTACATAGAATGAAACAATCGATGCTTTGTAGATAAGTCAGAGATTATCAGGCCGGAAGATGAACCGATCGTCGTGATCGTAGAATCTTGAAAGGAACGAAAGCGAGTAAATGAAAGATAGGAAGAGGGTGAACAGGGACAAGAGGGTGGAATATATGAGGTTCGAAGAGTTTCATCGAATATTTCGCGAATAGATTCTCGACAGTGCGTGATGGATTTTTAAACGTGCCCCCGATATTTCCAATTCGAACATTTTCCGATCCAATAAACAGAGCGCAGGTATCGTGGTGAGCGGTGAAAATGAGCTGGCCTTTTTTACCTGAATGGAATCCTTTCCAGCCTCTCGTAATATATTCCTCGGCTGCGTGTATCCAGGCCCATTGCTATACAACAACGTTGTATACGGTTGTCCATCAACATCCGACATCTTGCTGTCAGAACCTGAAGCGGGAAAAGAGCACGCGATTAGTCCATCAATCAGGGAAATATCACAGACGAGAGGGTTGTAAATAGAGGGTAGATTAAACGGGATTCTGAGCATCGTTCCAATGGTTGTTTCATGAGGGGTACTTGTTGGAACGTATGGGGGATGAAGACCATAAAATATTATTGTGTTAGGTCGTCCCATAAGTTCCTACCGTCCTTCACATTGATGTTCAAAGTAAAATATTGAACCTACCCTTAAGTATTCTGAAAGAACATTCTCCTCTATGAATTTCCATTTTTAGAATAAAACTATCATCTTGAATTTTGTTTTCAAAATTTCTTTAATACAAAGTGTTGAAAATGAATTTTTACTGTACCCATGATTTTTCTCATGAGTTTTTTAAATTTTCTTTTGTAACTACAAATTTTCTAGAATTGTAAAACGGAACGTTCGATGGTTTGGTAGACAAGAATGGTAGAAAGCTGGAAACTGAAGCTAAGAAAATGAAGGAATGCGAGTTGCGTCCGGGATGGTAAAGCATTCCGGAAGTTCTCGGGGTTAAATCCTCTTTAAACACGCTTGATTCTCGCGTCTAAATGTTTTGAGAGTTATCCGGGATCGCGATGAAGCATAAAAAGAATTCTTTCGTAAATTCCGCGGTCACGATTGGACCGTGAATTAAACGGCGTTTAAGTCGCTATCAAATGCCGCAAAACATTTAATTGTTGGAAAAGGCGGAGGCCAGTGTTTCATGAATAACTTTCAGCGTTCAGCTTTCGGAGGGAAGGAAATAGAGGAGGAAAAAGCGTAACGGTGAGTGAAGAAGACGTAGAGGAAGCGGAAGAATGGACTCGAGGGCATGCCTGGTGGCTGCTATGTTTTATTCAGGAGCGTCCTCTTCCTTTAGTTGGAATCTTCAAAAATAGACCGTCGACGTTTCACGCTGTCTGTCGTTTAACAATGTATAATTTAACCGTTTATTTGCCGTGCAAATTGTAACGCTGACATTAAACTCTGTTTCTCCATAAAGATCCCGACGATTTCATGTTTTCCACCGACGGTTGCATAAATTTCGTATCGTTCGATAAAACCCGGAAAATGAGACAAGAAAATTTTAACAAATCTATGTAGATCCGTCGGTTCCAAGTTTCGGAAGTTATAGCGTTTCGAATATCAAAATTTTGCAGGAATATTAATTTTTCGGATCCCTTTCTTCTCTCCATGAATTTTATTAGTTTCACACATTTGCATTCATAGCTTGAAACAATCTGTGCGACATAGACACAGCAGCGATAGTTTATTACTGCCGGTTGAAAAGGAAAAATAATCTCTGGAAATTTCAGCTCGCGATTTATCGTCGTGGAAATGGTTGGTCAGTTTCAAAGTAGAGCACAATGGAAGCAATGGAACACACATCACCTCGCATCTATTTGACTTTCGGTGATCGTTATTAATCGTCCCTTTAAATAACGCTCTTCGCGGTCAATTGTTTCAGCGGAACGCTCTCTGAAATAAAGTATAGAACGTAGCCGGTTCTCTGGATCCGACTGTTCCAGAATTCTTTTTTACCTCTACCACCAAATCGCTCGCGGTTAGTTTAAACTGATCGTTATTTAATTATGTTCAATTATTCAGTTTGCCCGCGTGCCATTCAGCGGGAATAAAATCGAGTTTAAAACGTCAGAATTCCTTTTGAACTTCGCGTTCTTCCGTTCGCTTCGCTAAATCGCTCGTTTGCTCATTATTGAAAAACAATTACCCGATATTTCCGTGTAATTCAATATATTACACGCTCGAATCTTGTAACACTGTGTGTGTAATAACGCGAATTTCTCTGTATTAATTTTTAAATCTCTCATCATTGAAATTGTACTATTACAGAGAGATCTGTAACATTTAATTTCCGATTGAGTAATTAAAAGCACTGATTTTCACGGTTTGTTTTCCGCGTATTTAGCACGCTATTCAAAAACGCCTGAATAAGGTGGAAACGTTTATGGCTCGTAATCTGCTGCGAATAGCTACCTACATCGTATCTCTTTTATCGAGCAAATTAAACGACAAGATTCGTCGACGAAGCTAAGAGCTTTTGTACCCATTCTCGATGCCTTCTCGACGTGAGAGCTGAGCAAAGTATCTTCCATAACGTCGACGTCTTGTAAATTGAAGAGCCTATTCTAAATGATTGGACTCGTTTCTCCTTATGCAGACATTCAACGAATTGAAAATAAAATTTACTGGCAAATATTGTCAAATGTAAATGCTTTGACTTTGTTCCGCTTAGATTGAAATTAATTAAATCTTCCTTAACCAGTAATATTAATATGAAAATTGCCATCCAACATTTCACACGAGTTAAACTTAATTATTGAAAATAATTCAAAGTTACTTGCCCATCGTTACTTGCACCAAAGAAGTTTGATTTTCATCAAAGGGGATATAATAATTTGAATTTTGATTGAAAAGTTTTCTAATAGTTTCGTGATCTCCTTTGTAATTGCGCCCTTAGGGCTGGATGAAACTATAGAGGAAAGAGATCTCCAGGATCCTTCCATCTAAACACATCACTGCTCGAAAGGGTCGAAAGCAATTTCTGTCCGGTCTTTTCAGAAACTACTCTCCTTGTGAAAATAAAAAAAATAGAATTAAATTTTTTTTCCCAGTAAATGGCAGTTATTTCTTATACCAAGCTTAGAGAAGAATAAAATTCACGATTATATCTCGAAACTTGGTCTGCCAGGTAAATCGGTAATTTTTTTGTCCCTAACTAAGTAGTTGTCGAATCTCGTAAAAGTGTCGGTAGTAGGAAAATTAATAACTAAAGCTTCTTAGCAGATGTCGATACAAGGTGTAGCCTCGTTGAACATGCTTTTTCCGCATTAAAGAAACGTCTGGCATCGTTTTCGTTGCGCGAACGAGGAGGGTGTTGAACAGGGAGGCGTAGACCACCCTCGTGGACGACGCTATAATGCTTTATGTAATACAGTTGAGCCGATTACGCGGTGGCATTCTGCCATTAAATATTAATTACCACGTTGAAACATCGTGCATTAGTGGCGGGGTCAAGAGTAGCAGGGGAAGCAATTGGAGAAGTTAAACATACAGGCACACGTACAAGGATATACAGTGCGGATAAAGCGAAATACAGGTCGATAATAGAAGCGCAGCTGCTGTGACCCAACAAAGAAACTCGTTTCGTCTCTTCTATACCGAAGGAATTGCACGACTTTACAAAAGAATCGGAAACGAGAGTTCGAAGGATCATTACAAGTTAAGATTATCTTCTATTCAATTAGAATAAATTGAAGTATAATGAGTCGCTATTATAATTCTAAAATAAACAAAAATAATAATGTTTCTATCAAAAATTAATCGCCCTATATTCCTCCAAATAATTGTAACTTCAAATATCAGATTAATTTTCTTGAAAATTTCTGGCGCACCCTTCGATCGTTTTAGAAATACGTTCTTCACCTTCAACCTTCTTTTCTACTCACAGCTTAGAACCGTAGCTATATTGTGCACATTCTGGCGATAAAAAAACGTCTCTAGAGCTCTTTCTCTAAAAAATGAGGGCAAGTGATCGGAAAGTTCAAGATGAACAGAGAGATATCAAGCGTCGTCCTTGAATTGATTAAATTAATGCTTAAAGCCAGGCGAATCTAACCCACGATTTTCTAATTGAATTTATTTTTATATAGTTTAAGAATACCTAGAAAAATACTAACCAATATTTTTTTCTTTTCACAGAAACAAGTCCAAATATTGAAGCTTTTCCCTGGAAAGGAACGCACTCTGCAAGGTAAGTGAATCCTTCGTCTGACTATATCCGTTCCTATTTTACTTGTCCGACCAAATATCCCTTATTCTACTTGCTCGACGCGTCGAGTGGTATAGCGGATAGAGCCGGGTGTAGTCGATCGCCAATGGCGTCCAACGTGTTAATAAATATCTCAGTAGAAAGGGGGCGATGTAGCGCGAGCGATTTAAGAGCGCTTATCGGAAGAAGGGACAATCTATCAACGTTAATCTTCCGGTACAATTGCTGTCGGACGTGGCGAGGTAGCGGGCAATAAGCTTCTCGCGGCTGCTGGTGTTCGTGTGGCCGAGCGGAATGCGATGCTTCGGAAGTTCATTGGGCAGGCCAGAAGTTCTCGGAATGCAGGGAACTATAGCGAAGGATAACCTTCGTTGGGTGGTGGCTCGGGGATCGTTTATAAATCAGCTCTCGGATGCGTCCCTCTATCACGAGCCGTTCGAACACGTTTCACCCTCGTTCCGGTTGCATGCACGCTTCGAGTCAGCCCCATTAACGGGCGACTATATAAGATCACGAAAGCGCATCCCAGGGACGCGAAAGTTATGCGATGGCAGCGGCTCACGAAAGTGGATCCGTTCCCCTTCTTAGAACTTAAATTAGAGAATGCAAGGCTGAACGAGATAGTAGGAGGTCCGTTTTTATGCCGGGACACGGATTCTTTGACATCGCCGGACACGTTCCAATTTTCCTCGCTAGTTTCGTAGCCGGTTGACGATGTAGTAAGCGTTCGAGTAATCGAATCGTTAGGGAATCCATCCACTGCCACCTTTCATCCTATTTCAGTCTCCTTTGTACCGAGGATCGTAGCACAAAAGGACGTTAAGGTATCTTCTTTACGGACCGTTGTTACCTTGTATATATTTGTCGTGAATTGAAAAAGGATTTCTTTGATGGATGTTTTCCGAAAGGAGCTGCTCGTCTAACGCGGTTAAAGCGATTGTTGTTCTTGGTGATTGAGAAGAACATTTCGTAGTGTTAAAGGGTATCAGAAATATTGTTCGGTTTGGATTTCTCTGTGGATGAGTTCCTTCATTTAGCGAATACACTTCAACCCTTTGAGGTGAATCCTTCGAGCCTCTGAATCTATTCATCAAAACGATTCGGACATAATCAAACTGTCCTCGGCTATCACTTCCATACCATAGGCTCGCCATTTGCGTCGAATCGACAGAGGGAAAATCAATTCTCATTGTA